CCTGCGCACACTGCTGGCTCATGTTCAGGCAGCTGTCAACCAACACCCCCAGGTCCTTTTCCACCAGGCAGCTCTCCAGCCACTCCTCCCCCAGCCTGTAGCGTTGCATGGGGTTGTTGTGACCCAAGTGCAGGACCCGGCACTGAGCCTTGTTGAACCTCATACAGTTGGCCCCGGCCCATCGATCCAGCCTGTCCAGGTCCCTCTGTAGGGAGTACTGCTGTAGCAGTAGATGTCTCTTGCTCTTAGTGGTGCATGCTTAAAAAAAACAAACTCTTTTGCATGAAACAGTTTCTTTAAGGTTTTGAAATATACTGGAGTTGGATCTTAAAGAAACCATGAGCCTGGATACACTGGTGCTGGGAGAGAAGATCTTCCTGTTTTTCTATCAGTTCTTCTCATGTATTGCAGTCTCAAATACAACTCTCTGAAATGTTCTCCAAATAAGTCTTATACCACAGAAAAATAAAAAAAAAAAAAAGAAAGAGGACTGTCAAGGAGAAACATTTTCTTCTTAAAAACATGATAGGTTGACTTCTTTGACAAATCCTTGCTAGACATTTGTTACTAGTTTTAGTTTTCAGTGATGTATTTTGTGGCTTTTAGGTGAAATATACAACACTAAAATTTCAGGCATCTGTTGCTTCTTCTTTATTTAGAAGAAAAGTACCAGCCCACGTTGTTAAGCAGTTTCTACTTATCTCCGTAACCAATCAACAAAATTGGATTTTAAGCATAGTGCTCATTTTAATGAATTACTTCTTAAATGCTGTGAAATATTGTTCCTCAATTAATATTCTAAAAAGTTGGATGGATTCTCTGGCTTTGGGAAAAACTACTTATCTGTAAAATCCTTTGTTTTTTCAAGCAAGATAATACAGCAATTTAAAACTATTCCAACTATTAAAAACAAAGAGCTGGGTGGGATCTAACTTACCGTGTGTGAGTAGTTCTGCAGAAGTACCTGCCTGTGTTCTCTGTATCATAACTGGGAAAGATGGGTTCCTGGGAAAACTCACAGAAGGACATCCAATAGAACTGTGGTATTCTCCTGAATTAAATATGAAGATTTTTTTTTATTCTTATTTATAAGCATACTGCAATATTTGTTGAAACTGCAGAGCTTTAATTTTATTTCAGTGAAATGGATGAAATAATTTTATAAGTGTTTTAGTCTAAAAATATGTGTTTCCAGTTGTCTTATGTTAAGCTAAGTTGTTTAGCAACATATCAAAACAATTCCATGAAAAGATTACTATCGTTTTTTATTAATCCCATAGGCAGCCTTTGCAAATGTTTTTGTACTATAAATGATTGCAGTGAGGTGTTAAAGCACATGCAGAGAACAGAATTCCCTCAGTGTATCCTTCTTGCCCCTTAAGCTATGTTTTAATACCAGCCTGATAGCATGGTTTAGAGAATGGTGTGTACTTGGTTCAGAGTGCTATTACAGCTATTTAGTACCAATCCCTGATGAAGCATTTTACATAGTCTTCCTTTTCCAGTGAGAAGTTAAATCTGTTTTCTTCTGTTCTGCACAGTCCATGCTTTTCTGCCTGCTAAAACTAGCTGTAGGAGAGTTGTAGGAAAGCAAATGTTAAAGCCACTGTAATACTTTCTTTCAGGAATTACGGCGGAAGTCATAGTGGTAGCCTCTTTTGAAGAACTGCATAAAAGAGCTCAGGAGGCCAAGGGGAAGATTGTTGTCTACAACGAACCTTTCATCAATTATGGTGAAACTGTGCGATACAGGTCACAGGGAGCAGTGGAAGCTGCTAAAGTTGGAGCAGTGGCATCCCTTATTAGATCCATTGCTTCTTTTTCTATTCATAGGTAAGCATTTTTCTCTTTTCTCCCTGTGACTCACATTTCAGCCTTAAGTTCACATGTCATTGCTGGGCAGGCATTTTTGTTCTCTATGACTTAAATGTTGCCAGTTACGAGTGGGTGTTCAGTTTTGAAATTATTGGCTGCACAATAGTTCTTTTCCCCTGTGCTTTGTCATTCTTTCGAAATGTTTTCATTTTTTGTTACTGATCCAAATTTTGATATTTGTTTTAAAGAACCTCCTGCATTGTCAAGGCTGCCATAAATATTCTGAGATCAACCAAAATCAAATGTCTTTGGTGACAACATGTACCAGACTGTCAATGATGATATGAACTGGTCATTCTGTATATTTGACTAGAATGTAAGTGTACGGTTTCTATTGTATTTGTCATTTTACTAGCACGAGGCTGACTTGTACTAGATGAAGGAGTAGTCTGCTTTGAATGTAATTATTTTGAACACCTTAACAGTAAGGTTTGTAATTCTCACTCTGCTTTTTAAGTCAGGTAGGTTGAAATAATGATTTCTTAAAAATTAAGTGGTTTTAGATGTCTTAGTATGTTACTTATTATATATAGTTTTACAATTATGAAATGAGCATTTTTAGTTTTCTGTGAGGTGCTGTATTTTGTAATATTGTTCTCTTTTTGGACCATATATATTCAGGGCAGTACAGGCCATTTATTCCTCTTCCTAGTTGCTTAGTGACTCTACGCAGAGAAGAGTCATCAGCAGTAGCTAACTTGACCCTGAATGTGTGCCACATCATAAACTGGAATCGTGTTCTGTTTGGATAACGCCATGGTTTCTTTTTGATCTGTGTACCTAGGTTTTCTTTCTACAGAAGTCCAGGCTGGGAAGTGGGAAGGGGTGGTATGGCTTTGGGTCTTGCTTGAGGCTGGAACTGGGAAGTGACTGGGGCAGGCACTTGGAAGCGTGCTTGATTCTACCATTTCAGACAAAACATAAGTGGTCACATCTCAGCAGTGTGCAAGCATCACCATTTGTGATGCTTCAAAAAGTTTGAGAAATGCAGTAATGCCAGCTAACTGTATTGGATCATGTGCAGAGGACAGCTCTGCTGCCAGTGTAGTTGCTTGATAGCATTTTTATATGCTCCATATTCCCCTAAAGAAGCCAACATTACCTGTTTAAAATGCTTTCTCAGAAGTAAAGAACTTTGAATTCAGATAGTATCCGAACTATACTAGTGTATTTCTTGATGCCCAACAAATGTAGAAATGTTTACAATATATTTTCTAATACCTATAATTTTCTAATAAATTTAATAATCATGAACAGAGAGTAGAATATGTTTCAAAAACAGTTTTATGAAAAATGATACGTTTTCAAAATAGTCATATATGGTATCATCAAAGAATATTGCAATCTATAATCTGTTGATTATCTGAAAACCAGAAGATAATCTGAACACTGATCTATCCAGTCCTTAGTTCTGGTGCCCTGCAGAGGTGTTCATTTGAAAGCAACTCTTTGTATCTTCTGTTTGCCAGACTATTTATGGAAGTGCATTTGAACGTGTAATGGAAAATTTAGAGATGAGAAACAGAGGTGGAGACTGAAGGTAGTAAAGCCTGTTTATTAGGTCTTTGTATTGACATTGCAGCTATTTCAGAATTGAATGAAAAGAGAGGAGAAACAGATGCCAAATGCATGTTTGTTTAGAGGTATTGAATCCTTAATCGAGGCTGGGAGCCGAGGTGTCATTCCCAAAAGCAATTTCAAATTTAGATGCTGCCAGGAAGCATTTTTTCATTAAATGTACTTGCTGTCCTTTCTTCATTTGCCTTCACTTAGGGTTGTTCTGGGTGAGGGGAGGGATTGGTTAATCTATTTTTTCCTATATTAAGGGAGGTATTCAGGTCCAGTCCATCACTTCTGCCACTCTGTGATGCCTAGATCCGTTTGTCTTGTTTCTAACAGAAAATAGGTATTGCTGTAGGCAGGATGGATTTTCTTATCTCCATGCCTTTTCCTATGTTTTCTCTTAATCACCAGCTGTGTGTCTCCTTGTCTGTCCTACCGATGTGCTGTGCTGGATGGACTCTGTGCTGCTGTGGTGCTTCTTGTAAGTCAGTGTCTGGGGCACTGTTTGTTCAAGTTGCTTGCCTTTTTGGTAGACTGATGGGAAATGCTGCATCGCTGCAGGGCGTAGCATGTTCGAAGGGTGAGAGATGAAAGGTAAAATGATGATAAAAGACTTCTAGGTGTTCTGAAAGAAAGTCTTGCATACTTGCAATTTGTGTACTGTTGCTTTGTTGGCCAGAACCTTTGCTTCTTGGGCCTGTGTGTTTACAAGTGCATGTATAATATGAATAACTGCTAATGGTATTGTGGCAGTTCTCCAGAACATCCTGGAAATATCTTAGAAGAAAGTATCCTCCTTGTGATACTGCAGTATCCCACTTTCCACAGGTGAGTGAAGAGTGGAACTTAACAATTTTCCCTAAACTATATGAGCTTTGGTGTGGTGTGGGTTTTTTGTTTGCTTGTTTGTTTTGGGTTGTTTGTTTGTTTTTTTTTTTAAGATTTCAACCCCTTTTGGACAGGGGATCACTTACTGTTATTTGCTTACTCTGTTTGCAATGAATTAAGCTGGCTGGAATGGTGGAAGCCATTGTGTGGTGTGATTTCTAGGTGATCTTGCAATGTGAATAATATTGATAGGTTAAAACTAGGTACTTTCTAGTAGATTAACATTTTAGGCTTATTAGGGCTGGTTATTAGAGCTTACTGACAAGACAGAATTGGTAAAATCACAACATGAATTGAATCAGTGTTCTCTTGCTGGCAGCTTGGTGGCTGTTCCTTGTTCCAGAGATGGCAAGCGGCTGCCACGTTGTGAAGGGCAAAAACCGTGAAGGGAACCTTTGAGCAGGGATTATGTGGGCAGCTTATTTTTCTTTAAGGTATGGTAGTATAGCTATGGAGTGAATGAAACCACCTGGGGACTCAGGCATCCCAACTCTGAATGAGGGCAAGAAGGGAAGAACTTGAATATACTCAGAAAAACTCATTGCTCTGTTTATATGACGGCTCATGCCAACTCATTGGTGACAGTGAAGGCCTTGAACGATTTGTTGTTGACTTTCAAGGAGTGGATTCGTTTATTTAGGACAGAAAGGGTAAGAGATGACAGTAGTTACAAGGTTGGTATTACTATGCTGTGTGGCAGTTGGGTCTCATGGCATTGTCCCCATGTTGTGTTAGAGTCAAATAATTCTCTTGCTACTTTATAGGTATGATGTAAGAGCAGGTTTTGTTACTTAGGAGAAAGCCACTGTAACAGGTAGGTAATTTTCCCTGCCCTCCCGCCCAAATGGTGTGTTTATGACAGCCTTTTTCCCAGTAACAATTTCCTGAAGCACCGGCAATTTGGTGGTGAAAACCTTTAAACATGGATATTAGGAGTTAAGAGTAACAGAACTATTTTTAATGAACCTTCTCAAATAACACGTATTATTGTAATCAGTCAACAGTATCCATAGTATTTGGCTTTTTGGAAAAATCCGGATGTTGGCTTTTTTTGCTTTAAGAGCTTCACTATGCCTTGATTAATGGTCTTGTACAAGTTAAAGTAATACAGATGTTTACTGTTGTGTACAATAAGCTGGTGAGTATTTCCCAGTTTGTAGTGGATGTTTTTACAGGAAAAATACTCAATTTACAAGGCATGGCTAAAAATGTGGTTGTAATAAGCTAGCCATAAGTCTGTTTTTTTGTTTCCTAGCTGTACGTTTTTAGAACATTTTACAGATAAAAGGTATCCTTTAGCTATTGAAATGGTCCAGTATTTATCCTGTGGTGAATGTACTCTTACAAATCTAAAACTATAAGTAAGTCCTTCTGTTCCTCAAGAACCACAGATTAGATAAAGTTGTAACACTGTGTCTTGTAATAATAACCCCTTTAAGGGCTCTAGAAAGAAGCAAAATCGAATGTTTTTCGAGAACTCAAAAAGAAAGTTTGCAAGAGTCCTCAGAAATAAATGCCAAGAGCCCAATTATTATTTTTTTAAATGCTGCAGAACAATTTCTCCAATATGTAAGAAATCCAACAGGGAACATATTACAAGGCCAAAATAGACCAAGTAGTACTTGGATGCAGTCTGGAGACTGTTAACAAGGACACATACTTGTTCAAGTTCTTCTCTTTTTGGGCCAAATTCAGCATCTTATACTTATCTGAAATAAGTAATTTCCTTCACTTTCTCTCCCCTTCTTCAGGCTGCAGGTGGCCAAGACAGTGTCTGCTTGTGAAGCTCTAGTAACTCTAATCAAAAGCTGTGTCTGGATGAAAGCTGAATTCATGAGTGGCACGGTGCAACTCAAGATTTATGGCAGAGGTTGCATGGATAGCCTGAGTGGGTGCATGTGTCACAGTTAAGTGCAGGCATGCCAGGGCTGGAATATCATTTCATGGAACGTACATGAATTTGAAAACTGTTGCTTTTCCTTTAATTTCCCCTTTTTGTAACCTCACTTCATTTATTTTCTTCTACCATGTATAGTAACGTATGCCTTTTTGTATATACATCGTACTCTCAAAGTGCATTTTCTTTTCCTCTCCTGTTTTTCCATTTATTCTTCAATGCTTTGTAAACAATTCACTCCCTTCTCAATCTTGCTGGTGATGTGTGTGAGTTAATGTCATTTTTCAGCTTTCAGGTGCTAGCACAGTGATTTCTTACCACATCACCTCTTTCTAAGGCTTGGTCTGCTGCCTTTGGTTCCAGATGTGAGACTTGCCTGCTACGGAGAGCTTCCAAAACTTCATGTCTAAGGAAGTAAGGGCTTCTTCGCATGAGTAGTGGCAGAGATACTCAACTTCTGCTTGTTCTGCCAAGTCTTCTGAAATCTGGGATAGTACAGTAGTTTTAGTAGGATTTCTTTCGCTTCTGTTTGTTTTTTATAGCGAAGAGACGCATCTGGCCTTTAAAACTGATATTTCACCTTTGAAATACTGTATCCTCTGGTTGTGTC